TTATATAATGAAATGTAGTCTACGTGTTGCCTGTAAATGTAAAAAGTCTAAAGTGTACAGTAATGTGCACCTGCAGTCTGAGCTCCTCCAGCTCACGTGTTTTATCCAGCAGTTCTCCTCTGAACTCGGCCAGCAGCAGCTGCTGTTTCTCTTGAGCGACCTGGCGATCACCGAGCAGGCGTTTCAGTTCACTCTGCGCCCGGGTGTATTCATCCTGCAGTCTGCACACACACACACACACACACACACACACATTTGCTCAGCTTAACCCAAAACAGTAGACACTGAGGTTAACCAGGATATCTTACAGTATATAGATATGCAATATTCATTCACAGCACAGTCCCTCACCTGGTGTGCTCCACTTTCAAGGTCTGATAGTTGGTCTTGTGGTTCTCGCAGCGCATTCTCTCATCAATAAGCATTTTCTGGAGCTCCATATCGGAGCTGGTGAGTCCCGTAGAGCCGCTCAGGAGGACTGTGGCTTTCCCACCGCCTCCTGCAGGCTCCAGGTTTGGGAACAGGGCAGATGACTGCCCTAACGCTGGAGGGTTCATCTGGTCCATAGCAGAAAAAAAGAGCGAGGGAACAAAAGCAAAGGATTTTATACCTCCCCCAGAAACCACTAAAACCTCAAAAGATCTCTAAAAAAAAGACAAAGACCTCAATCAACACAAATGACTCCACTTCAGCCAACCAAAGTCAAGAGATGCGGTTATATCTCATCAGGACCGGCTGTTTTAAATCACTTGTAAGAGTCTAGTTAGCATGAACAAAGCATCTAATCACTACATGTGCAGCACAAGAGTCCTCATTTGCTCCTCTGTTCTCAAGTGATTAGAAGTGAAGCTCAGGTTGGTCTCTAGTGATTCCCTCTGTGTTGTAGAAACAGAGCTAGTCCAACACATAACGGCTTCCCATGTTGTCCAAGCAACTGAGCCACTCGGGAAACTAACCCAGTGCATTTAAAACAGCGCTAGATGAAGCACTTCGTGTTGTCTGTGAGTGGAAGTCAGTGCATCGATGGTTTTAACTGCTGCTATACTGAAATCAAATGTCATGTAAACAGTGCATACTGCAGTTATTTAATAAATAAACACATCTGCTGGGCGTAAAGTGCTGCATGCGTTCAAAACTGCATAAAACATAATAATACATTTGTGCATTAGGCTACAAAGCAAATGATTTGAAAAGCTGTTGTAAAGTTACCCGATTCAACACTGACAGCGACGCACTGTTGTTACGAGTTGATGATGGCGGCCTGAGTCGCCTTTCAAAATAAAAGACTTATTTTGACTACAAAGTTAACAAAATATGATATTAACACCATCGTTATTTAGTTCAAAATATTAGTTATTAATATGATCCGAATTGTATTTGTATATTTGTGTAATGTGCAATAATAATCTAACGAAATTTTCTAATCTAATAGAACTTTCTTTCATTCATATGTATATTATAATCAGTGTTGGGGGTAACGCATTACAAGTAACGTGAGTTACGTAATCAGATTACTTTTTTTCCAAGTAACTAGTAAAGTAACGCATTACTTTTTAATTTACAAGAGAATATCTGAGTTACTTTTTCAAATAAGTAACGCAAGTTACTTTTTTTTCCAATTTATTGATTGGCAGCTCTCCTGTCCTCATGTTGAGAGAAATCAGATGTTACTGTAGTTCTAAAATAAATATGAATATGCATTAACTCATCTCACTCACATAAAACAAACAGATTCAGTATTCCTCAAAATGAATAAAAAATAATGCAACTCAGAATATGACGCAAACCTGCAATAGCTAAATGTTAAACAACACAAATATCCTTTATGTATTTAATCCCATTCTATTTGCTTCTGACCTTCGATGATCCCGTTTCCACCATACTAATAAGCACAAATTACTCTAGACAAACATTTGTGTCTTTTTTGATTGCTGAAGTGTGTTGAAATTTCTTCTACTGCATTCAATCGTGCGGATGTAAATTTACTGTCCCTTCAGCCCGAGGCTTATTCATTTCACTTTTGGTGTGAAAAGGCTTTTATATTTGCCAAAAATATAACTTTTTTATTTTAAAAACAAAGCAAGTCCTGTCCAGATTTTAAAAGTAACGCAAAAGTAACGTAACACATTACTTTTCATAAAAAGTAACTAAGTACCGTAATTAGTTACTTTTTTATGGAGTAACGCGATATTGTAATGCATTACTTTTAAAAGTAACTTTTCCCAACACTGATTATAATGAATGAATACATTAATATTTTATTATGCTTAACAAGATACGGTCACAATGAAGGTAAAAAAAGGAAAGAAAGGCATACAGGTTTGAAGCAATTGTAGATATGTAAATGTAGAATTTTCTTTTTTGGGGTGAACGTCGCAATATCTATGCATTTTGCAATAACGCTTTTATGCCAGCAGAGGGCGAAAATTGACAGTATTTGAATTTTGTCCTTCAATGCAATTTGTTCTGTCAAATTGTGTTCTTTACTGTCACATGATATCCAGACAGATGCTTTCATTCATACAGACAACTCTGTGGTAATGCAAAGGTACGTTTTGGACTTGTAAAGGATCATATTATCTGCAGGACACAATAACCACAGTAAAAGCAGAGTTTATGCACCCATGGCTGTGTTCAGGGTTTGTTTTTGTTTCCTATTTGAATTTACATGGGTAGTTAACATTGATTCTTTTATATATATATATAAAAAAAATGTGTTGAGATTGGCGTGGGTGTTTTTCTTTTGGCCCTGCAGGCCCTGAACCTCTTGATATCTTTGGGCATGAACCAGCCCTCATGCTGTTATGAAAGTTATTTATAGTTTTTGCTAAGTATTTTATCTTTAAAAGGACAAGAGAATAGTCCACTCCTGAAATAGCCACTGCTTTTCCCACATTTTATTATGTGTGAGTGAAGAGAAAGAGAGTGTTTTCTTTTTTAACCTGAACATTTATTCAGGTGCTCAGAGAAGTATGCTAAGTGCTTGCGATGCGGCCTGTTTAGACCAAAGGTACATTAGTCTTTTTTTGTATTTACTTATTTTATAACATAAAAATGATCAAATGTAAAGCTGTGTAATGTAAAGGTGCTGTCGTTTTTGGAATACCACACATGAGCTGTTACTATTATCTGGCAGATATCATTGAAATAACACAACTGTGCCCAGCAATAGTCCATCACACTAGCTTGCCACTCTTTTTAGCCAATCAGAAGCCTGACAATCTTCTCGCAGTTTTGTTTGGAATTTACGTTTTTGCTCCCTCTTTCCTGATATTAGCAAACTATGAAACATAAGTTGTGTCCCAAAAGACATTCTATACACTATGCACGTACACTGTGCACTTATTATGAAGGTTATTTTGTCATCCACCTTAGGAGCCTGATAGCCCCTCCCCTTCCGCTATGTAAGGAAAGCTAAAATGTTTATAGCACCTTTAATACAATAACCTGTTATCATATATTTTTTTGAAGTCTTTTAAGGTGTGAATTGGCCTTTACTGTACTATGATGGTTTTAATTGTTTATTTAAAAAAACATGTTTCCCATCATTGTGTAAATCAGCTTTCCATTTCCCAGTAAGCCTCTGTGGAAAAAGTAACCACACTCGCTGCTCTCATTTTCTGCTCTGCATTGTGGGTCACAGTACGATGGTTGGTATTCACTCCCACTGAGAGCTTAACCAGCTCCTCGGTTTTCACTTACTCAGGGCATTTATCACTGAAACTTCTCATCAGCTCTCTAAGTAGAGGAACTCCACTGATGTCACAGTGGTCCAGTTATATGTTTTTCTCTTAGATAAACCAAGTATTTGAATCTGTTGTCTTTTTATAACTCTCGAAAGATGAAAATAAAGCAAGACAGACGTGGACAGTAGCAGAAGAGCAACGCTTCTCTGTGTTTAAGGCAACTCAAGAAGAGGATTGGAAGTTAAACAGAATCACGCCACTCAGATTTAATGCTGAAAACATCTGTGCTGCTGAAAACAATGATTAATTAATAGGATGAGCCCTTCATCCATTTATTTACTTTGATTCCCTGCCATGCTTTCACTCAAATGCATGGAGACCCCATATGGCCCCCCACCTGAACTGCAAAACATTTCCCCAGATGTTTCTCTCATTGCATTCTCTCAAAGCAGTGACATAAACTGCAGATCTGTAATCATCCCGCATCTGTTTCTTTTCAGACAGGATGGAGATAAAAATGCGGCCCTGGAGAAAAACTGTGGTACTACCCTTTCCCTTCCCCCTCAGAAAAACGCCTCTCTAATGTTTCAGTCACTTATGGCCAATGTTCTCTAGACATATACATCACAGGACTGACTTCATGTGGACATACACACATCTCCACTTTATAGACTGTACAGTTTCTCTTTGTGCTATATCTTGTTGGCGAACATGTGGGCTTCAACTTGTGTGTAACACCATTGTGGGTGCCTTGCAGCGAAAGGGAAATTGTATTTATGCTTACATGAGCCTAAAACATACTCTGCGTAAGTATTTGAGAGATTTGAGCGTAAGTATTTGAGAGATTTGAGAGTGTTGTTGAATCTGGAAATGTGTGAATGAAATTCACAACACTGTTGTATGCACTGCACAGCGTTACCACCAGGGGCACTATATTTCACCTCTTCAGGCCAACTGTTGTCATGGTGGAGCAACAGATTGAAGAGAGTGATCGAGTTAGTTGAATTTAATAAAATTGTTGCGTACCAAAACATGGTCTACTCAAATACGTGAATAGTTTCAGGTATGTGAATGATGAGAAAATGATGACAGAATATTTATTTTTGGATGAACCATCCCTTTACGCATTTGTGACTGTGTGTGTATAGTTATTTGACAAACATCAGACTCATCAGAGAATAAAAAAATAAAAAAAATTTTTTTTTACTTTTATTTATCATGATTCAATGGACAAAATTCTCATAAAAAAAAAAAAAAAAAAACGTAAACATCAACTGCTTGAATTCTGATTGAACTGAATGAATCTGCGAATGTGACAGCATATTAAAGTTTAATCTCTCATACAGTCTAAATTTTGCTGGGAAAACAATTTTGTTCATGACAAAATTTAAAAAAAGAGTTCCCAATAGCATCACAGTTTCCGTCTTAAGTCAGACGGATGATCTCAAATTTCTTGGGCACTCTATAAGGTCTGGGCCCCAATTCTGGAAACAGCTCCTCTTCTGTCTCAGCAGTGAGCTCCTGACCTGTGATGCCCGCCAGCTGCTTGTCTTTAGGACAATCTGCGTTGTAGGTCTTGACATAGTTTTCCACCGGCCAACCGCGGAACTCCTCTGGTTCACTGCACACCAGACCTGTGTGGGACACACTGGGGTGATGCTTCAGCCAGTAGATCAAGTAATGAATGTTGTAATCACAAATCCAGGGGTTGTCCTCCAGAGACAGTTTCCTCAGGAAGTACAGGTCCTCCAAAACGCCATATTGAAAATAGCGCAGGCTGTTGTTGGACAGGTCCAATTCTCCCAAGTACAGCAGGCCCATAAAGGCAGCTACAGAAAACAGAAAAAAGCAGTAATTAGATGGACACTCTCTTCAGATTTCATTCAAAACGTTTTTAATACCTATAAATGATAGTAAAACAATCTCATTACTTCATTGACTAAAATAAAAAATGACAAATTAAACCATATTGAATGTGTTATTAAATGTGAATTTCTGGTTATGTGTTGTTATATATAAAATAGATTTATTGTGATTTTATATATTTGATTTTATTTACATACTGTTGATAGTGCTTAGGCTTGAAAAAAGTTCCTTTAATTAGAGGATAGAACTGAATGGATTACACATCTTTTACATTGTAGTGAGCTCTATCTGCCAACTGTTGTCCAAGCTGTGTTCTCACTGCGATCTCTAAACTGACTGATGAACTAAACAGAAGCTAGACTGCAGTTCCTGATCCTGTAGTGTGACTGAATCAGTGTTATCATCTCTCTAGGGAACCATTAGATGACACACCCTGCTGGTCTGTTCATTAGAGCCCAACTGACTGCGATTAAGTGCATTTTTAGGCAGTTTAGAAAGACATAAGTGTCTTATAATTATAGCAGCATCAGCAAGTACTTCATTTTTATTTGTAATTCTCTGAATGGTGAGAGAAAAAGACAAATGGGAATTCTGTGTATAAACCTCAGAGGAAGCGTTTTTTTTGGGTAGATTTAACTGTAAAAAAAATAAATGCAGGCTGGGGAATACAGTGGTCAGTTGATTTAATATATGCCATTTGTAATGACTTTGAAATGGATTTGCTTTAAACCAAACAGTTGACTGTACAGTGTCTGACAGGATCTGGAAATAGAATTAAAGAAAGTCAGAGATCCAAGCCTTCTTAAAGACTTAAATCTTTACACTGAAGTTATTGCTTGGCTTTAAAATTGGAATTTTCAACCTTTACAGGTCAGCGACCCACCACCAACTCTCAGCCAACCCTAGGACCCCAAGTATACAGTATATATATCAAATCTATACTGTCTTGGTAACACTTTATAATAGCCATCATTATGATCATTTGCAAACGTTAATCTCCACAGATCCCACAACACTGGCATTAGCAGGCTATAACACACAAGTCCTTTTGTGTTTCATGGAAGAAAGATTACAGGAAATCCAAAGCTGCTAAATGTGTCTGCTCAGCAAGAAATAGCCTACAAATTTTTACAAGCAATTCTATTCGGTGAACCCCCTGCTCTGTTTGCTCTAATTGGTAAAGGCTTGAAAATTAACATGCTGATGTTTATATTGCTTTCTTCACAATAACAACTCTTGATAGCTGTGCTGCATAGTTGAGGAACACTTTGATTTCTCTCATGACTTCTTTACTTTCCAAAAAACCTCATAATTTTCTTAAATCCTTTCACCCACCCATTCTTTTGACAAATGATTGTTGGACATAAAAGCTCTTGATGTAGCTACCTGATGTAGAGGCCAGAGTCGATTCCTTCACTATTCACTCACAAAGAGAATGTGGCCTGTTTTCTAAATGCAACGGAAAGAAAAAAATAATGGCTTCTATAGTTAACCTTTCGTGATTCCCCAACTGGTGTCTTTTCATTCAGTGCTTGACAAGATGCTTTAAACTTTAATGTCAGACTTCTTTTCTTTTCTATTGAGACTTCCTTGTCACATATTGCTGTGCCAAACATCCATTTCCTGCATTTTGTACATCATCTTTGTACTTTCATTCCTCAACAGTCAAATAAGTATATGTCTTGAAGACAGGATTTGGTTGTGTACCACTGGCTTACCTGTGTCGATGTTTTCCAGACTGTTTCCGCTCAGGTTCAAGAGCTTTAGGTCTTTAACTTTTACAAACTCTTTTGATCTCAGCTGCTTGATGTTGTTTCTGGATAAATCCAATCTCACAATATCCAGCGGGATGTCAGCCGGCACAATTTTAAGGTCTACGGAAGAGAGAGTTGAATTACTGTAATTATGTAGGCCTATCGGAAAAGGTACCTTTATAATTAGCACAATTACATGTGTGATTGACAGTGCATTCTGCAACAAATGTTGCTTCGTTTTGAGTTATTTTGATTCCCCAGGGAATATTGTGTAGCACTTTGATGGGCTCTGTATTTCCAAATGATTTCCAGCAGGCTAGCCATACATGGAAACATCTGCCATGACAATTGTTGTAAGTTCTGTACAGTTGGTTCCTCGTTGGTGGTCTTCTAAAGTCATTTTCTCAGACACTTACTGATAATGACATTCAAACTAACTAGTATCTCTATTTGGATCTTAAATTGTACACAAAGCCAGTTGTGACAGCAATCGTTGTGAAGAAGCTCTCTATTTATTTTGGAAGATTCTGGGCACTCGAAAGCTCAACGCAACACTTTGGATGACTCCAGCAAACCGTGCCTGGATATATTTATTTATATCACAATGGAGAGAGCTGTTAAAACCGTACACATGGCACACGTTTGGCGGTAGCGCTCGAAACTCTGTGAGACATCACGTCTCTCATATTCGGAAATGTTACCGTGGGACTTGTCTGCTTGACATGTGCGAAAGCAATGCGGCATGCAGAACAGATACAGCTGCACTTCCTGCTTTGACCCACCAGAGCACCTGTTTTAAACCCCAGAGTGCCTTCAATGAGAGATCTTGCTCAGATTTTACATTCTGCTTTTGTTCTGCCACCTATATAAACACAGGTTTGATCCACAGTTAATACTAGAGTAGATTTTACACTATTTTACAGTGTCTCTGGAATCTGGAGGTTTCTGAATTGCACCCAAAGAAATGAACGTGCCGTTATTCTTGTAACTAATTCAGGGAAAAGCCTTCCCATAAACTGAGATCACTAAAACTTGGCTTTTCATCCCCTGCTCTTGCCATAAGATTCCTACATAGGCTTTCTGCGATTAATGCTGACAGAATAAATAGCCATTTATCCCTTAGGTCCCCGAACAGATAATGTAATGTTACAAAAGTGTGACTTTTTTTGTGTTTGACAGAGTGATTAAGGATGCCTCCTTCAGCTCCAGACTGCTGACTCACTATTTCTGACAAGTGGAGAAGTCCAAATCCCAGTGACTTCAAAATCTGATTTCATTTATTTCACATTGACTGTTTTCTATCACATGCGTTTTGCTTGCCTCATCTAACCCTGATGACTTGGTCTTTGGACTGGCCGTGTTTCTCGTGTTCTTATGGATGTCAGAGCATATTTATATAGTTTTTCAAAATAACGAACCTTACTTGACAAGATGGAGAACTCAAATTTTATGTACAGTAGATTGAAACTGAGGGTTCCAGAGAAGAGAAAAAATGTTGTACTTACAAAGAGTTCTTTCATAGTTAAAGGCAGAATCATATCTGTCTTTCTTGAGTGAAATTTGAATGACACTTTCTTTGTCATATCTTACAGCCATCTCTTCATCAGAAAAAAAACCCTCTTGTCCTAAGTTCTTTCCTAAAACACTATAAGATATGTATAAGACACTGTCTATAAGACACCAACACTGTCCTCGGATTCCCATGGAGATTTGCATGTATAGCTGTAGTAATGTGGTATTTCCTTTGCTTTTGGAAGATAATTTTTTTAGGGGACTGATTCACAAAGGGACCCTTTTTTATATGAATTTTGCCTTTGTTTTGCAAACAGCCTTTTGAAATATAATAATGAGATTCAAGATTCAGAAAATGTATGGTGTATTGATAACAGTCTGAATATGACATTAATGTCTCTAGAGAAAAGTCTGCAGATGTTGAAGCTGGAAAGATACTCATTCCCTTTCCGCTAGTTCTCTGCATCTTATATTTCATATTTCCAGACATTTGTTCCACTCTGCTGTGAATTAGAGTACCACATGCTGAGTCTGCAGAATATCTATCTATCTATCTATAGATAGATGTCATTTTCCCCTCAAACTGACACCATGTCTCAGCATACAGTGTATGCAGGTATTGTTTCTTAAACAATATAGATGAAAAGCTGCTTTACACAATTAAAAGGGAGTGTCTAGGGATTTAAGGAAAGCATTACTCATTGTGTGAGTGTTTATTGTGGAATAAATGACACTTTGCCCCAACTGGTACTGCAGAGAAACCACTTTAACATTACATATTACTGAAAAGAAACTGCACATTTTCGAGCTAACCCTGATCATCTTTCTGTCAGATTTAATTGTTTAATTGTATTTTATTTGGCAGCCTCCTTTTTTAAGTTTTGATTTGCTTTAGTAGGAATGCTAATCACTGAATAGAATACCTAGTGAAATCTCTTTCAGCCAATAGAATCAGTTTAGTGGATTAGCAATTGTTCGTGATACTTCTGCTGAGGTCACACAGTCAGTCAAATATTGCTCAATCTGTCTTGGTAACCCCTTGTTACTGGACACAACATAAACAGAAAATATTGTGTGCACCTTTATAGGTTTGCCAAGTCAATTGTTTTGCCAAGTCAATTGTGAATCATTGGATTTTCCTGAATAGGGTAATGTGTTCTGTTTCTTTACGACCACAACTTAATTCACTCCCACCTCTCCCCAAATGTCCCACTGCAAGAGAACCTAAGCAATAGCTTTCTCACCTCTGTTACTGCAGTCCAGACGGGGCACGGGGTGGACGTAGGTGTGGCATAGAGAGGTTGCATCAGACTTTTTTTGTGAAGCTGGTAGGGTCTGATTGCCCGGATGTGGGATCAATACGTTTTCCTGCTGAGGGGAGCACAGCAGCTCTGCATCCAGCTTCTTCAGTTGCCTCCCCGAGAATTCCCTCGGCTCAGCACACCATGCGTAATTGCCAATGTTACGGTTACTGGGCACTTGTATGAATCTGACCAGGCTATCCAGCTGGCATTCACACCTCCAGGGATTGTCATAGAGTCGCATATACTTGAGTTGCGGCATAGGGATCAGCATGCCTTCACTCGCCACACTCAGACGGTTGTGCTGCAGCAGTAAAGTGGTGAGTCTGCTCAGGCCGTTGAAGGCTCCCTCGTCTATGCGGGAGATTTCGTTCTGCTGGAGATCCAGACTCCTCAGGTTTCGGAAGTGACTGAAGGTGTTGTCTCGCAGCACCTGGATCTTGTTCCGTGCCAGCAGCAGGTGGTGAATGTCCTCCGGCCAGCCCAATAGTACGGCTGTCAGATGGCGCTCTTGGCAGTCAAAGAACTTTTCCCCATTGACTGTACTTTCCTTGCAGTCTTCAGCAAACCGCTTGATGGTATTTGACCGGTCTCGACTCCGCATTCGGCGTCCCTTTCCACCCTTTCGTGCCTCAGCTGCCCAGACCACCAGGCACAGCAGCAGACCGCAGAGCAGCCGCATGGCAAAAAGCAGCAGCTGGATTAACCAGTCAAGTAGAGTCTCAGCGTAACTTTGATAAACTGAGAGCTTGCTTTATTCAGACTGAGGGGGCACAGCTGCAGTCCCTGAGAAAAGGCAAACAAAATGTAAAGAGCTGCACTACCAAGAGCTGCGTTGGTAGAGGACATACACACAAATGAAAAGAACATTTGTCTTACCGTTAATTCATAACAAGTAAAACCTCGTAGGACAGTACTTATTTTTAAAGGAATGTTGAAGGTTTAATGCAAGTTAAGCTCAATCCACAGCACATACGTTTATGTTCCCTTCTAAAACACTTACAATGGAAATGTAGAGTTTTGTTGTCCAAAGGCTTTAAATGCCAAAATGTGAGGCTCATGTTTTTGCTAAAACACTTAAATGTATCTTTCCATTAAAAAACTACTGTTCAATGCAGATTAACTTTTAACTTTGTCATGTAAAGATGTCGTGGACAGCCTTTTGTAGACTGATTCTGGCTGTTTATCGTTGTTGAACGTATGCAGACAACAAGAAGAAAGAATTTAAACGTTTTAATTTAAAGACTATGGTACTAATTGAAATTTCTTTTTTTTTTGTGGTAATTGACATTTATGCCACAAATATTGCAGATTGAGTTCATCTATAAGCATTGAAACCTAGAACAGTTTAAGTTAGTTAAAACACACTGACATTGACAGAAAGGAAGTTTGGATCATTTGTACACACATATGTGTGCCAGTCCTATTACATCATCCCTTAAATCTGTTGTGCTGCTTTACAAATCCTCACCTGTGACAGACATTAACCAAGGAATTCATTATCTTTAGATATGTTGAATTCTTGATATTGATTGGTTGACAGATGTCCCAAGGTGTGATTTTTCTGCAGCAGCACTGCTGTGAAGTAGTTCCAGATTTGTTGACCTATCATCACTACCACTTTGCCACATTCTTTCCATGTTAGTAACAGTAGACCATAAAAAGTAGATTTACACATCTTGAAATAAATGCATTATATAGACAAACCCATTTGGTAACCGTGATACTGTTTAGTGTAGAATAAGCATTGAATTATTGAAATTAATGCACATTTGGCATCCACTTTGTGTCATGGCTGCATTTCCACCTTTGCTGAACCATTCACTGCACTAGCATTCATTGGTCCTCCTCACTAGCAGATATGAGTGAAAATCAATAATTCAGCAATGGATTTTGGGCCTTCTGGGCTTTCCCTGCCTTTCAAGAAACTGTAAAACAGGTTCCAGTCTGTAGTTACGTTGCTTTGCAGCTATTTTCACAGATGTATCATGCAATTAAATTGTTGAAATTGTATTAGCAGGACCTGTTGCATGTTCTCTCTTTCCAGTGATAAAACGGCATGCCAATGACATCATGTGAACATGCTTGTCCATTTTTTCAAATGTTTTTTCCCCTGCTTTTTCTTGTCACAGACTTGTAACACTTGTTGTTATGCCAATGGAAAAGATTCTATATCTATTTGCGCATATCATGCACCAGGACAATGCACTGATTTCAGTGATCCGAAAACAGTGTGATAACAATGAGCCTTGGGTACATTTATAAGTGATGTTTGAACCGCATGTTAATCCCAGGTATGTGAGCAGATCTGCCTGGGATATATAAACTCTTCTAATGGAGCGGACATTAACAGGAAGCAGTCAGCACTTCAGGTGAATGAACCAAGATAACGCAGTCCTTATGTGAGTCCCTGGCTGCCACGGCCTTGGTTTACTACAATAATAGAAAGAAAGAAAAAGCAAGAGATGGAAAACTTAAATGGGAAATGGAGCAGAACGCAGGTAATGTTCACTGTCCAACATGAAAGGGGGAGTGTGTATTTTCTTTTCAACTTCATTTATTTATTTATTCATTTATTTTTTATTTCCATGCCACCCAAATTCCAGGTCACCCAGGACATCCAAAAGATTGCTCCTGTGATTATTTCAGGTCCAAAGTGAAATCCTTTAGGTTAGAGACCTTGAGAAGAATTTACCCCCCTCCCACACCGTATATAGTGCCCAGTTATCAGCACAATGAGTGTGTATGTGTGTGAGAGAACAAGCTTACATGGCCAGCAGTGCTTAATTAAAACCATTTGAACTTCCTTCACAGGGAGGAATAATCTTTTTTTTCTTCTTTCGGAAGTGACTGAAGGTGTTGTCTCGCAGCACCTGGATCTTGTTCCGTGCCAGCAGCAGGTGGTGAATGTCCTCCGGCCAGCCCAATAGTACGGCTGTCAGATGGCGCTCTTGGCAGTCAAAGAACTTTTCCCCATTGACTGTACTTTCCTTGCAGTCTTCAGCAAACCGCTTGATGGTATTTGACCGGTCTCGACTCCGCATTCGGCGTCCCTTTCCACCCTTTCGTGCCTCAGCTGCCCAGACCACCAGGCACAGCAGCAGACCGCAGAGCAGCCGCATGGCAAAAAGCAGCAGCTGGATTAACCAGTCAAGTAGAGTCTCAGCGTAACTTTGATAAACTGAGAGCTTGCTTTATTCAGACTGAGGGGGCACAGCTGCAGTCCCTGAGAAAAGGCAAACAAAATGTAAAGAGCTGCACTACCAAGAGCTGCGTTGGTAGAGGACATACACACAAATGAAAAGAACATTTGTCTTACCGTTAATTCATAACAAGTAAAACCTCGTAGGACAGTACTTATTTTTAAAGGAATGTTGAAGGTTTAATGCAAGTTAAGCTCAATCCACAGCACATACGTTTATGTTCCCTTCTAAAACACTTACAATGGAAATGTAGAGTTTTGTTGTCCAAAGGCTTTAAATGCCAAAATGTGAGGCTCATGTTTTTGCTAAAACACTTAAATGTATCTTTCCATTAAAAAACTACTGTTCAATGCAGATTAACTTTTAACTTTGTCATGTAAAGATGTCGTGGACAGCCTTTTGTAGACTGATTCTGGCTGTTTATCGTTGTTGAACGTATGCAGACAACAAGAAGAAAGAATTTAAACGTTTTAATTTAAAGACTATGGTACTAATTGAAATTTCTTTTTTTTTTGTGGTAATTGACATTTATGCCACAAATATTGCAGATTGAGTTCATCTATAAGCATTGAAACCTAGAACAGTTTAAGTTAGTTAAAACACACTGACATTGACAGAAAGGAAGTTTGGATCATTTGTACACACATATGTGTGCCAGTCCTATTACATCATCCCTTAAATCTGTTGTGCTGCTTTACAAATCCTCACCTGTGACAGACATTAACCAAGGAATTCATTATCTTTAGATATGTTGAATTCTTGATATTGATTGGTTGACAGATGTCCCAAGGTGTGATTTTTCTGCAGCAGCACTGCTGTGAAGTAGTTCCAGATTTGTTGACCTATCATCACTACCACTTTGCCACATTCTTTCCATGTTAGTAACAGTAGACCATAAAAAGTAGATTTACACATCTTGAAATAAATGCATTATATAGACAAACCCATTTGGTAACCGTGATACTGTTTAGTGTAGAATAAGCATTGAATTATTGAAATTAATGCACATTTGGCATCCACTTTGTGTCATGGCTGCATTTCCACCTTTGCTGAACCATTCACTGCACTAGCATTCATTGGTCCTCCTCACTAGCAGATATGAGTGAAAATCAATAATTCAGCAATGGATTTTGGGCCTTCTGGGCTTTCCCTGCCTTTCAAGAAACTGTAAAACAGGTTCCAGTCTGTAGTTACGTTGCTTTGCAGCTATTTTCACAGATGTATCATGCAATTAAATTGTTGAAATTGTATTAGCAGGACCTGTTGCATGTTCTCTCTTTCCAGTGATAAAACGGCATGCCAATGACATCATGTGAACATGCTTGTCCATTTTTTCAAATGTTTTTTCCCCTGCTTTTTCTTGTCACAGACTTGTAACACTTGTTGTTATGCCAATGGAAAAGATTCTATATCTATTTGCGCATATCATGCACCAGGACAATGCACTGATTTCAGTGATCCGAAAACAGTGTGATAACAATGAGCCTTGGGTACATTTATAAGTGATGTTTGAACCGCATGTTAATCCCAGGTATGTGAGCAGATCTGCCTGGGATATATAAACTCTTCTAATGGAGCGGACATTAACAGGAAGCAGTCAGCACTTCAGGGGAATGAACCAAGATAACGCAGTCCTTATGTGAGTCCCTGGCTGCCACGGCCTTGGTTTACTACAATAATAGAAAGAAAGAAAAAGCAAGAGATGGAAAACTTCAATGGGAAATGGAGCAGAACGCAGGTAATGTTCACTATCCAACATGAAAGGGGGAGTGTGTATTTTCTTTTCAACTTCATTTATTTATTTATTCATTTATTTTTTATTTCCATGCCACCCAAATTCCAGGTCACCCAGGACATCCAAAAGATTGCTCCTGTGATTATTTCAGGTCCAAAGTGAAATCCTTTAGCTTAGAGACCTTGAGAAGAATTTACCCCCCTCCCACACCGTATAGACCCCAGTTATCAGCACAATGAGTGTGTATGTGTGTGAGAGAACAAGCTTACATGGCCAGCAGTGCTTAATTAAAACCATTTGAACTTCCTTCACAGGGAGGAATAATCTTTTTTTTTTTCTATCTGAATTAATTTTAACTCAACCCTAAAAAAATCAAGTGATACAATTATTAAACCTGTACTTTTAAGTGAAAAACCTTCTCAGCACATATATTTAAGCAGAGGATCCTTTGGACTCACATAGACAAAAAATCAATACTTTCCTATCCAGGCTTTTAAAAAAAGAAGAAAACCACAAACATGCATTTCAGAATAATCACACAGTCTTTCTCCTCACGTTTTTGCTACTTTCTTGAACCAGCATGTGAAGTTTGACAATATATCTTGAGTAGAGACACAATTGCTAAACAATTGCTTTTCACACAAACTGACTCCAGTCAATGCCTAAATCCGTGCCAAAATTAAGATTGCTGGAAACATGCAGTCCCTCTGTTACGAAACTGCAGCCGAGTCAAGAGTGGATGACTTAATGTACGTCCATCTGCACTGTCATTGCTAGAAAGATTTCCCCACACACATGCAAACATGCACATACATAAT